TTTTTTTTTTTAAAATGAACATGATGTTAAAAGAAGGGAAATAGAGGTCAGGATAAACACATTAAAATCATTACAAAATATTTCTATGCTCACGAACAAAAAGAATAAAGACAGCATGATACATAAGATAATATCTATGTCATCCTCTCCATCAATGTGTGGTGATAATGGATACAAAATCAGGCATTTTCATTTTCCAGCCCTGAGCAATAGAAATTTTTCTTTCTTGTCTTCACCCCTGCACTCACCCCTGAAGTTCACCATGATTTTTACCAATATACACAATTTCTGTTTGTATGTTTTAATCAAGGATATCATGTATTATGTGTAGTTTTATTTTTTTCAGAATACACTCTTGCTCTAGAACTCAACATAATTCAGATGCTTGACTGCACCGGTCTGACTATGCATTCCTCAGGTCACATGCGTTAGACTTCTGGGTTCAACCTGGGTCTTTTTTCTTATTGACATCTATAATCTCTTTATCTTTCCCAAGGTTTTACAGAGAAAATATGTAGCTTCCCTGATCTTCTTTTAAGGTTTTATTTTATCCCTATTCCAACTTCCAGTTTATACTACTAATTATCTTCTTCACGGTGCCTTAAATTTTACGTATCTTGCAATCAACAATTTCAAGGTTGTCAAGAATATAAATACAAATCAATGCACATTTTTTGGTCCAAGGGTAACTCATGGTTAAAGAAAAATAACTGACTTTAATATCTGGAGTGAATAAGGAATAATATTTGGAAGAAACAAGAAACTTGCACAGACTAGATCTAGGAGTTATGAAAGATTATATTTTTCCACTTAGAACTATTTACGGTAAGATTAGAAGGAGAATCACGATTAAAATCTTATATTGAAATATTTCCAGATATTAAGCACTAAATGATCATTCATAAAAAACAAGTGCCATTGTAAAACGAGCCATTAGATTTGTTAATTAATTAATTATTTTTCTTTTACCACCTAAAACAAACGTGGATATGTATGAAAAAACAGCTGTCACAAAGAATGTATAGAGGAGAGAAATGTAATGAACTCTTCCCCTAAGTTAATACAATATATAGTATTTTTTCATAGTAAAAATATTTTATTCGACACCCAAATCAGTATCTTATTTACAGGTATAAAATAAATGAGTATAGGCCGGGCGCGGTGGCTCAAGCCAGTAATCCCATCACTTTGGCAGGCCAAGGCGGGTGGATCACGAGGTCAAGAGATCGAGACCATCCCGGTCAACATGGTGAAACCCCGCCTCTACTAAAAATACAAAAAAAAATTAGCTGGGCATGGTGGCGTGTGCCTGTAATCCCAGCTACTCAGGAGGCTGAGGCAGGAGAATTGCCTGAACCCAGGAGGCGGAGGTTGCGGTGAGCTGAGATCATGCCATTGCACTCCAGCCTGGGTAACAAGAGCGAAACTCCGTCTCAAAATAAATAAATAAATAAATAAATAAATAAATAAATAAAAATAAATGACTATAACATTTCTCTCTCTACACTATTTAAAAATGATCTCCTTTTAGCAAAACAGAGAAATAGGTGAAATTTATTTATACCCTACTTTTTTTTCTGTTTTTCTCCATCTCCTTTCAGACCTTTCTCTAATTCTCCTCCCCCAGGCTAAGGTGCTCAGTACTTTTATCTTACTCTAATTTATCCTGTCAACATGAAAAGTAATTTGATAAATTTCTTCATATTAAGGTATTAGAAAATTAATTGTCTACTGATCTCATGAGTATTTGCATTTTAAAGGAAAATTGCAGAGAAAGAACAATGCCTGAACATCCTAAATTACTCATTAATTATGGAACTTCAGGCATCCCTGGGAAGATATTTAAAAGTGATGGGAGAACTACAGAGTATTCTCAAATAATACAATCGATATGACAATCTTGTCCATAGATTTGTCTGGGTGGTCATGAGATTGAGGCAAATTGTGTTAGAAAACAACCATTAGATCCTCTCTATGTCTTGGAAGATACCTGATAATGTCGTGTCGTGGTACAAAGTAGGTCTTATTCATATTTATTAAATAAATTATCATACTGTTTGTCTTACATCCATTAAAAATATTTGAAGAATCTATTCTTTTGGTAAAATAAGAATAAGAGTCTAAGTGTCGGACCCTGTGCCTTTGTTTTAACCTTAGCAGAAAAGTGGTGCATATTAAATATTTAATTTATTCCTGGACATTTCCTTGTTGTTTAGAAACATCAAGAAATTACATGGTGAATGTCTAGAGCTCTGGGGTTCAGAAGAGATATCAAAGGAAAATGGTATTTTCTTAAATTGCCAAATCATAGGTGTGAAAACATCTTATATTTGAAGTAATATTGCCAAATACTTTTAAAGGAATTTTGTTCTCCCAATTATCTCATACTCATTATCCCAACTGATCCCTATAAAAACAGCCTCATGAATTGGACAGGTCTGCGAATAACAGTAGTCATTTACTGATCCTTCACATGTGGAAACCAACCTACAAAATGTTGACATTACTTGTCCACAGTGACACAGTAATAGGTGGCAAAGCAAACACTAAGCCACTCTGATAAAAGGGTTTATGAGAAATTCTCTTTGACATGTATATGGATGAGTTCAAGTTAAGTTTATTTTCCATCCTGATAACCAGGCTTTTTATATCAACTACCTCTACCATCTATTGTGGTAAGTTGACAAAGCACGAGCCGATACTATAAAACATGTATCTAGTCATAATCATGTTTCTAAAAGTCTTCTATTTCCCTGTGCATAATCACAATTTGATGATATTAGCATTATTATTTATTGAATGGTGATCAAGAGCATGACATACCATAGAAAGAAGAAAACCTGATTTACTCCAAAAAAAGGAATAAGACAAGAAAGAAAGAAAGAAAAGGAAGGAGGAAAAAAGAAAAGAAAAATGTTTTTCTTTTTTATGTGTAAAAGAGATAAGACATTTGATGGCAACTGCAGTCTCATGCAAGAACACGATGATCAATTTGGTTGGACATTTCATCTCTCACATTTTGTATATTTTTGATCTCCATTTTTATTTACTAGTATTGGAATGAATTCCATTCAGCATCACCTGCTAATTTTATTCAAGCAATATGTAATTGGCCCTTCAATGTAATCATCAAAGATGTTAAGGTAGATTTAACGCCTATCAGAGAATGACTGGAATATTACCGGAGCGTTACTTCAGCCCATCAGCATGCCATTTGATAAGACGCTAACTTAGTCCATAAGCCTTCCATTTGTTATCTAATGGGAGCAAGTAGAGTAACATGACTGTTTTAAGATAATTCAAGTTAGAGATTTCTTTCTCTACTAAAAGGTTGAGTGTTATTTTTGTACTGTTTCTAACAAACGTCTTAGTTCTTACTTTTTCTTGGCTTTTAAAAACAAATTAGAAATGCCAGTGATTTCACTACCAAATTCTCTTCAGATCTCAAAATCCATATTCCAAGTTGGATACTTCTCTACATATCCATTTTCCAAGCACTTCAGCCTTTTGCTTTTTGAAATCAATAAGCCATATTGACAAAATTTTAATTATTCCCTAAATGTGCATACCTGTTTTGATTTTTCTTATTTTCCTATAGAGAACAAAATTAAGCAACTGGTCATGTGGTATACTTTGCTCTGTTCTCTTTGAACTTTAGCTTTCACCTCTAAGAGAAAATAGGATCTGATGTATTGATCCATTTGCAAAAAAACATTAGAAAATCAAAGACAGAAATAAAATATCCATCTCTGTTAATAATTATGCAAAGATTAAAAAGTGCTATATAATTAGGTCACGAAAAGTTTCCTTATTTCAAGCAGACTTACCAATGTTGCATTGAAAAACCCACTGCGTAATTACAATCATGAATAAAATGTATAGCAACCATCCAAGGTTACCTTAATGTATCTGCTTCTCAATGTTCCTTCATGCAAATAATACAACCACTACTTCTGTGAACTATCAAGCAATGCTGATCTCTTTGGTCTGCTATGAAATCAAGTGTTTAACTATTTTTCTGCCCCACAATTTCAGCAAGGCTATAATCTATGTGAGGGGGGAAAAATAACCAAGGAACTCCAGCCAAATTAGCTTATTATTAGATATTTACAGTGTATTTTTCTATAGTTTGATTTTCTTGGTGTAACTGAGATGTAATAAAGATAGAACATGTTGCAAAAGAGAAGCAGGTGAGTAAATACCTCCAAATCCAGCTAGAAGATAATTCCTTTCATCTCAGCCTACTGGTAATGAAATAGATTAGATCCACATTTTCTGAACTCCCTTTGTCTACTGATAAAACTTAGAAGAGATGTGGTATACCCAGCTACCACCTACAGAGTATTAGTTTAAGAAGAGTAAAATAAATCTATAATAATAACAACCTTCAGGTGAAAATACATATGCAGAGTAATTTTCTCCAAATAAATCACGTCTGATGCTAGCATGAGAATGCATGCACACATTCATACATGTAGACAGAGATTAAATAGAGCTCCAAAATGCACAAATGTACAACCAATATATACTAAATGTGCACTGTTATAACAAACTTAGCACTTGCTGTTTTCCTTCTTTAAACCTGCTGGTCACTACCATAATATTTACTTTCTCCAAAGGAAAATAAGGGGCAAAATAAAGAGGAAAAAGTAGATGAGATAACTCCAGTTCTGAGGTTTTATAGTTTTAAATTCTGAAACATCATGAAAAATTTAGCAAATATTTATGGCATACCAAAGAGTACAGTCACGATAATCAAAGAGTAGAGTCATGATAACCAAAGAGTAGAGTCACGATAACCAAAGAGTAGAGTCATGATAACCAGAGTGGAGTCACGATAACCAAAGAGTAGAGTCATGATAACCAAATAGGCTATTATGATCATTCAAGTTTGTGCTAAAAAGTTTGGAAATGGTTTCCTACCTCTTTTTAGACGAGATAGATTTCTAAAATGTAAAGGCTGAAAAAGAATGAGAAATAAAAACCATAAAATTACTTACAACTGATCGGATGTTATTTTCTTTCACCAGCTTCAGAGATGATTTATAGCAATTTGCAAGGTCTTCCTTGTGGGAACCATTGATATGTCCTCTGGCTATTGGTCCTACAGTATGGATGACATCTGTAAACACAAAAGGAAGGAAAAAGAGGATAAGCAAGGAATTTTTTACTTTTTACATCCTTAATGCTTTATTTATTTTAGGAATCTGTGTTAGAGCCTGGAGACAAGCGAGCTAAGCAATGCATTGGCACTGCAAATATTTCTCTGGTAAAAGATCTTAAGGCACAACCTTCTAAGGGAGGCAATTTCCCATGAAGATAATAATTGTGAAAAGGAATCCCTAACCAGTGAATTGTTCCACAGACTTTGATCAGATTCAAGTGACACAGATTATAGTATAAGATGTGCATAATTGGCACCCTGGAAAAAAGACAAATCATCGGAGGGAAATAAACTGAGGAATAATTGCCTGCAAAAGGAATATCTGGATTGACGTGGAAGGGAAGAGCCAATGCTAGCCTGGCTTCCTTGTAAGACAAGTTTCAGGCACTGTACACAATAAAGAAGAGCATTTCCGAAAAAAATACAAGACCATTTTTAATAATCATTAATAATCTTAAGAAGAATAATTTCAAAACATTCCTGTCAATTTTAAAGTGTAACCTACCAATCCTTACATACACAAGGTATGTATGTTCATACCTATTTTACTTTATTTATTTATTTTTTCATTTTGTTTTGTTTTTTTTTGAGATGGAGTTTCGCTCTTGTTACCCAGGCTGGAGTGCAATGGTGCAATCTTGGCTCACCGCAACCTCCGCCTCCTGGGTTCAGGCAATTCTCCTGCCTCAGCCTCCTGAGTAGCTGGGATTACAGGCACGCGCCACCACGCTCAGCTAATTTTTTTGTATTTTTAGTAGAGACGGGTTTTCACCATGTTGACCAGGATGGTCTCGATCTCTTGACCTCGTGATCCACCCGCCTCAGCCTCCCAAAGTGCTGGGATTACAGGCTTGAGCCACCGCGCCCAGTCAAACCTATTTTAATAAGTTAATAGTTCATACCTATTTTAACAGGTTAATAGTTAATTATCTATTTTTATTGTATTAAAATGTTTAAACATTTTAATGCAATCTATACTTTTCAACTCCTATTCATGTTGAAAACACAAAATTTGATGTTTTTAAATATACAAAACAAGTCATTGTGCTACTTTTAATCTCTATGCATACATAAACTTTTAACTTCAGGAACATAGTAAAAGAGGACTGTCCTCTTCTAAGAAAGAGTAGAAGAAAAAACCCACATTTTAACCAAATTTACTTGAAAATGCCTTGTAACTCTTGCTTCCCAGTCTTACCAGTGAATTGAATCATTGATGTAAGTCATAACAACCAATCAACTTTGATCACAAAGACAAATTTAGTCTAATATAATTGGAACATTATAATGAAATTATTAATCAGGACCACTCAATTCCAATAACAATGACAGAAGAATAAGAGTATGCAAAAACAAGAATATGGCACAGTTTAAAAATGCATATGACATGTGAATAGCAGCAAGTAAGTCACTAAAAGAAAAATCTTGGACCGGGCGCAGTGACTGATGGCTGTAATCCCAGCATTCTGGGAGGCTGAGGCAGGCGGATCACGAAGTGAGGAGATTGAGACCATCCTGGCTAACACGGTGAAATCCCGTCTCTACTAAAAATATAAAAAGTTAACGGGACATGGTGGCACATGCCTGTAGTCCCAGCTACTCGGGAGGCTGAGGCAGGAGAATCGCTTGAACCAGGAGGCAGAGGTTGCAATGAGCCGAGATTGTCCCACTGCACTCCAGCCTATCATGAAAGATATTGAGCAAAGTCAAGAGAAGGCTTAGAGATATTAGCAGGAGGGAGACAAGGAGAGAGAAAGGAGAAGAGAGAGAGAGAAAGAGAGAAAGTAAAGCCCACAGGCGCAGGAAATGGTGACATCATAAATTTCCTTTAGTCGTCATTGTCTACAAAACGTAAATGAAATTTATGAAAAATTATTCCTCACATTTCTTTACTTCTCCATTTCATTTAAAGTCAGAGGATAAACAGCCCATAAATGAGTGTCCTCAGCATTAAAATATTGATCTTTGTATTTATGCTCTATATTAAATTTACAGCATCCAAGATCGAATGTTGTTATCGACCAACATGATGACCTCTCAGATCCACAAAGCCGGAGGTGAATCAATATGAGGCTAGACAGGAAATCTCGTTCATTACTTTAATTGTCCATTGTACTTATGAGTAACTACTCCACACAGAGTTTCTCGTTTTCTGTGATAAAATTCAGTTAGGAGGCCTGTCCGCATTTCAGCTCCAGCCCCTTCATCATCAAGTGCCTTAAATAGAACCATCATTTCAGTGGTCCTTGCCTTTTTCCTTATCTGTAAAATAAATCTCCTGCTTAGATGATCTCTGTGGTCTCTTCTGTGTTGTATAGCATTATTAATACCCAACCTTAAAATGGAGATGGATGGAAAATAGAATTATATCTGGGCAGATAAAGGAGACCTTAAACATGGTAAGCAGCTCACAGGTTTTTGACTAGAAGAATTTTTTTAATATCAAAATATCATGATTAATTTTTCACAATAATTGTTTCAAAATCCATTGAGAACATGTTAGAGACAAATAGCTATTATAATTTTAATGATGCTTTGTATTAATTTATGTTTTATTAAACACCGTAGCATCTTCATAGTTGACATATATATGTAATACACATGCATGCAAAATCTATAAACAATGTTTTATCTTGCACATGGGTTTTGAATCCCTTGGTACAAATAAGATAATGCAAATAGAAGTATTAAATTCAAAGTCTGATACATAGGAAGGCTCAAGAAATGGTAAATGTCATCAGCAGTAGCATACAAGGAATCTTCAGCACACAGGCAGGAATGACAGGAAGTTATCATCTCTTACTGATGTGGAAAGAATATCAATCCTAAGATCTGATTACAGGTTAAAAGTCCCAGATCTGTCACTAATCAGCTATGTGACCTTGTGCAAGTCACTCTCCTCTTTGGCCTTCAGTATTCAAAATCAAAAGAAGGAATAAACCGGAATAGCAGTCTTTTGCAGCTCTCAAGTGAATTTCCTTCTGTACATGTCTGTCAGGAACTGAGCTAAAGATTCTAATTTATTTTTGTCCAGATAAATGAGCATCAATCATGGTTCACGTTTCTCAAACACGATTATACAGTGAAGTGCAAATTGGCACTATCCCCAGAGAAAGTGATTTAATCATATCTAACAAAATTACAAATGTAGACTCCTTTTGATCCAGCAGTTCTATTCCTAGGAATGTATCCTTAAGATAATATGCTTGTTCATATGCAGAATAGTATTTACACAGGTCATTCCCTGAAACAACATAAATAATAAAGCAAGATGGGAAACATTTAGCTTTGTCCTCAACAACAGGGGACAGACTAAATGATGTTAGTAAACCAATAGTTCATTTATACAATGAAATGCTATGCTTCTGCAAAACAGACAAAAAGGACTTCATGTGTGCATGTGGAAAGATACCCAAGATGCATTACAACGTAAAAATAAGATTCAGAAAAGCACACTACCATTCGTGGTAAAAAAAAAATTCCTCCACCGATGTAGGAAAGAATACACGTTTGTTTTAGCTGTATGCATAAAATGTCTCTGGAAGGACAAACCAGCAGTTAATAACAGTGGTTACCTACTAGAAGAGTGACAGAAACTATAAAGATGAAAGGGAATATGAGGAGGAAACTTTTCACTGCTTATCCTTTTTGATGTTCAAGTTATGTAGATGTATTAGCTATGCGAAAATTAAATAAAACATTTAAACAAAGTATATATGATTTATTAATCCATATTCCTGAATACCATTTGCCCTATGCCTGTAACATTTAAAGATCATTAATGTGCTTTCCAAAGATGAGCTTATATAATTACACATATAAAACCCCCTTTCTTTTTTTTTTTTGAGATGGAGTCTCACTCTGTCACCCAGGCCAGAGTTGAGTGGCAATTCTCCACCCATTGGGTTCAAGCAATTCTCCTGCCTTGGCCTCCCGAGTAGCTGGGACTACAGGTATGCACCACCATATTCGGCTAATTTTTTGTGTTTTTAGTAGTGATGGGGTTTCACCATGGTGACCAGGCTGGCCTTGAACTCCTGACCTCATGATCCACCTGTCTTGGCCTCCCAATGTGCTGGGATTACAGGCATGAAAAAATACTCTTAAAGAAAATAATAGATATAATTTCAAGGAATTTAACAGAATGACTCCCTTAGGTATATATTTCTTTTATTTTCCTACTGTCAATAATTTCTTTATATTAAAAAATTATTTTCAGATAAACATAGAGTTTAAATAACAGTCAAGAGGGCATTTTTTCCCCTACATGGCTAGCATCTACCATTAAAGGATTATTATAATTTTAATATGCAATTTGAGTGTGACATACCTTAAAGCGGTAAAATAGCGTAGGAGCAAACTTTTTTTTTTTTTTTTTGAGATGGAGTCTCACTCCATTGCCCAGGCTATAGTGCAGTGGTGCAATCTCAGCTCACTGCAACCTCTGCCTCCTGGATTCAAGTAATTCTCCTGCCTCAGCCTCTCTCGTAGCTGGGATTACAGGCATGCACCACCACACCCAGCTAACATTTGTATTTTTAGTAGATACAGGGTTTCGCCATGTTGGCCAGGCTGGTCTGGAACTCCTGACCTCAGGTAATCCACTTGCCTCAGCCTCCCAAAGTGCTGGGATTACAGAGGCGAGCCACCACAACTGGCCAGAGCATACTTCTTATGCTTCTCCTTTGGTTATCTCTTCCTTTGGTTATTTCAACAACCAAAGAATTTTGAATAATTGTCAAGAATTTTTAAAGATAAAGAAGACTATATAGAAATTTAATCAACCCCTACTTTTCAAGGCACCCAGAGAGGCATAATAAGGTGCCCGGAGTCAGAGATCACGGCGAGGAGATAATGACAACATCACAATGGCAATATCACAATGACAATATCACAGTGACAATATGATTATGAGTAAGTTTCTCTCAAGGTGAATACTTACTGAAGGAAATGAATGG